GATATAATGGTAAAGAACTAATAAAATGTGAGCAGTAGCAAAAAACCCGATCATATATCATAATCCCAAAGAAACTACCTGATATGATTCAAACGAATTTCTGGCCGACAGAAATAGTAAGACGTATTTTGAATTTGAAGATTGAATATAGATAGCTACCAGCCATGAAGTATATGGTTACAGTTACACATATTGTCATGATCTAAAGCTTATGATGGCCGTAATTATGCCACAGCTGACACACATTTTCCTTTTACCTTAGGCGATCTTCGGCGATCATGTTACCTCCATCATTTTTCAATTCCGCGTTGAATTAGATCTCCCTCCTTTTGCTAGGCACTCGGGCCATGAATTAGTATGCATGTTTACCGGGAGGTACCATTGTTCAGGACGACATAAACCAATCATTTTTTTATCAATGATGTAACATGATACAGTTTCTGGTTTCCACTACAATTTCTAGGTTGATGCTGCCGATTGTTCCCTGGCCTACTGTGTGATATCTCAGAATGTTTTGATATAGTTTAAACTCAAATTCTTTGATTGACATAAACGTGGAATAACAAACAAACAATGTTACAGTAGTGATTGTGTAGCTGAAACCTAGGGAGTACGGCACAAGACGACATTAATATTGTCACTCAGAAGGCAATATTTGCAGACTTGTCATTGTCATTGTTAAGTGAAAATAATATCCCTAGATTTTTATACAAAAATAGTATAGGGAAAGTTCAAAAGGTTGACAACAATTGACAATGCTTTGCACAAGAACAAAACAACTTACGCTACATTGCATAGTCAAGTCAGTAAGAGAAAGATACACAGACTCCATTGTAAACATGAAGTGGTGTCAGGTGTTTCGAAACGTGAGCAACCGACATAAAATGTTTTTGTATGCCGACTCAGCATCTGTACGTAAATGGTAAAATTACATGAATCACAAAACGATCTGATAATGCATAATATACTAGTTGATAGGTGACAAACGGTTATTTGTATTCTAATGTTCAGACACTAGCATACATAAACCAATGTCGTGTTGATACCCTGGGACGGTTGTTATTGTTTGTATTCACATAGGAATTGTGTGTTTTTCATCGGCGATGATAAAAAATAGTCGATTGCCGTTTTCTCTGTTTCCAATTTCCTATTTTGTACACTACAAAGAAGATTTGAATTTGAATATATCCCTTCCTGAGACTTTCTTTACTGGTTTTATTTAATATAATATACCTCTATGTAATCGAAAGTGACTTTAGCGTCTGGATTATATACATATTAACTAAATAATACTCGTTTATACTGCCACGTTGCTTTTAAACTATGACGATTATGTCATAATAACAAGTAATTCGATTGCTTTTCCAGCGTTCCTACTAACCACGTTTGTGAATTAATCGATATAGTGGGAATGAGAGAGGGTACTACGTCCATACAAAGTTGAAAAAATAGTTTAATGATCAATAGAAGAGCAAAAACACAATGCACACTACATGGAATATTCTGACTGAAATATGTTTAATATCTAGACTTCAATTGACGTAATCGGACTCATTAAGGCTAATATAACATAGTTTACATCTTGATTAATATAAAGTAATACAACATTTTTAGGCGAAATTCGCCTATTAAATATACATAGGTTCATTCTAAAATTATATCCCAGTTTGATCATTAGGCTGAAAAAGTATCGATTTTGAATGAAGGGGAAAAGCATTCAAGTAGTTTCTGATTTATGACAAAATCAATCAGGATCGTGGTTTGTTTTTTGATAGATAGGGCGATAGGTACAATTGGCATCGGTCTGATAAAAACACGCATCTTTATAATTCACGAGATTAAAGCATTCGCATTGTTAATGTCATTTTTATAATAAAAAAATACTGAATTTGAACATTATATATGTTATTTGTTGTTTTGTATATAATGCATACACAGATGAGAATATATATAATGACAATAGTGAAATAAAGTGAATAAATATGTTTGATCTAAAAAAATATTTCGCCTACTTGAAACTAAGTTAGCAGAGCTAGAAGCTCTTATTGAATTCCGTAATACGTATCTACGTGATAAAGAGTCTTACATATTATAAATGCTGTTTATATCATTGATAGTGATAGAACAACCCTGTTTATGAAAATAATTTTGTTTAAATAAACCTAGTTAGTATTATGTCACTACCTTCAGTCTACATTAACAATGAGAATGCGATAAATGCATGGTAATATCATCGTTATACAACTACAGTCTCACAACATAACTATTCAAACTATGGGAGAGTGGATGTTTTTCCTGGCGTGTACAATGACTAATAACCAATTCTTTTATTTTAAGTAAAGCAATAAATCATATCATCCGCATCCCTTCATGCAACAACAACAGAAATACAGCTTTTGGGATCGGATTTCAAGTATTCATTCAACACCCAGTCACGTAGTTTATTAAACGGCGAAAAAATACATCGATAATACTCTACACGACACGTATCCAAAGAGACTAAAAAAGGCTGTTTGCGGTTTCGATTATTTATCAAGCAGTGGAAACTAAAATGGGAGCGGTGTATACGCTCTGAGGTAAGCAAAGATTAAAGGTGACGGCAATTGCTGGGAATAACGGCAATCATTAGGGAGGTGTACAAAAGAAACTCACTAGCGACGTTTCAACAAGCTATCAATGTAAATTTTCGCCATGTGTGAAAGCAGTACAATTGAAAAAAAGGCTCTTAAGAAGCAACTAATTTGTACTCCGATTCGCGTCAGTAATAACCCATGTACTATCATGGTATTGTTACACTCACAGAAAAAAAACAAGTATCTACAAAAAGCAATGATATCCTTTACTGCCGTGGAAACATATCGAGGCGATTGACTGGAGTCACACCGTGTCGTAGTAAGTCGTCTCGATAATCGTTTCTATGCGACGGGGGGAGGGTGACATCTTCTGGGCTGCACGATAGTCCAGCTTCACACAGTTTCCCCAACAATCCGCGGAGTAGAAGTCGACGAAGATGCTCAACACCAGAAAAAGCAGAGCCTGCTGGTGAAAAAATTATCCAAATTTAGATCTGTTTGATTTGTATGCATGTGAAATATGCCCCAAGACCAAACAGAATTACGCCATTAAAGCGCTGTGATTAGCGTTTAATACGTGCTGACGTACTGTTTACATATTGTGTTGCCATAAATCGGTTGGCATGCCAACTCACTTTTGTATTTGTCAACCCACAAAACATTTAACTACACAGTCTATTGTGATATCTAACTAATTAGGACGTTAGCTTTTGGGTTGAAGCAAGCAGAAAAGAAATGCCATTTGATAGAACGTTTCGGACCATGGTAATATTAAATGTATATTTTTTTCAACAAACTTCATTTCATATAATTCTATAATTATCTAAAATACTTTGCTTAATGGTTCAAACAGCTCTGATACTTATTATGGCAGATCATAGTGATGGCATAATCTTGTTGATTATTCGTTAAAGTTGTCATTTCCGTTATTGATAATTTTGCTAGTCTTATGAACTCTGCCACTCAACAGTACTGTAGTTCAATCAATTTACAATTATTAGAAAATTTTCAACTCAGGTGTCAATATTGTACAATATAGGATACTAATTATATGGACTATCAGTAAAGTTCCACAGGTCCTCAACTAATAATTGTTATTGTCCAGTGATTATTTAATAATTGTATGCCCAACAATTTGTTTTCCCACTCTAACTAAACAAGGTAGGTGACTTTGAATATATTTTCTATTTAAAATCGAAACGAACAAGCACGAGCAACGTCTTCAAACTAGCTACGGAAGAATTGCACATGGAGAATGTGATTTATATATATATATGATTTTATTGCAATTATTATTGAGGAGAATGAATATTAACTTGTGACACATGTTTTTCTGTTACTGTGTCGACAGTGGTTCTCGCAGAGTAAAACCTTCAATTGCCCTTCGACATCTATATATAATTAGCAGCTTTCAACGGCAAACATGAAAGAATAGCAATATTGATGTTCTCATATCTCACCTTGTCTCTTTCTGATTGATTGACGTGAAGTACCACTTTGTACTGCAGAGCATAACAGAGGATATTGATATTTGGTCGAATCACTTTCACAAGCTGTACGTACTTTCAGCTTCAATTGTCTTAGTGTCCTATCGTCCAACCTTGCTTCACACATGACTGATTCGAGAAGTAATATATAAATCAAAGCAATTGTCAGCCACTGTAACGGCGAATGCATCCCCATCCCCATTGCAGTGATAATGTACACCTGTAAAGACATAACAAAACGAGTTATTTTTTCTGAAACAAAATGCAAATGTTGAAGCATAAATATTTTTCGAGCAGTTAGTATAAATCAACAAAATTACAGCAGTGTGTTATTTGTGTTACTTAAATGTTCCTTATTGAAACGACGCGTTCTCATTGGTCAATCCGTACCACGTGCAGCATGTTATCAGATGATGACTGGGCAGTTTTAGAGTTTAATTCACAAACATATTTAGTTTTTTTTTCACTTGTGTACGGGTTAGGGTTTCAGACAAACTCAGCCCGCCATGTTCAAAATCCTGGTCGTTTTTCTTTTTAAATTTTGAACATCACTGAGTATGTTTTCTGCTGTCGTTTGCTGGTGAACGTTCTATGCATAACTTCAATCACTCTGTCGATTTCTCTCTTCACAAGCATTTCGAGGTTAATATAACTAAACGGACGGGGGTGTTTGCTCAAATAATGAAATCGACTGCGTCCCGACTATTATTGCCCACATCACCGTCATTTCCCTGTTATCACGCAATATTGGGCAGTGTGCCGTTTTTTAGTTTCTAATTATTGATCTCTGAAGCACTGCAACTTTACAGAGTCATTAATAACAACATATAGTCATACAAAAACCCGTAATAATTATCTGGATTTGTATTACTTTTATAGATAGGATGGGGCACATACACATCAACGATTTTTTCTGTGACAGGTTTTCTGAATAAGCCAAACACACAGGTTGAATTATATAAACAGCACTATAAATATGTATAATTGTAATATTTCATTTCAAATTGTATTCACATAGCGTAATTATTATTCGAAGCATCATATTTACGACTGTGGCACACCGACATAATTTAATGTCATCAAACCTGGGTGATCAACTTACAATTGATAGGGATGACAATGCATTGTCTATGTGTGGCTTATTACTCGTGTTTTCTGTTAATGCGTTTTAACGTACTCTACTCAGTGCATTTGAACTACATGATACCGAGTGTGTATATAATGCGTTTAGTAGAACGGAAAGATGTCAGACACGTGCCGTCAACTAAAGGAAGGTAAATGAATGTGGCTATTAACCCTTGAATGACTTTACACAAATTACTTTCATACTGCATTGGATACATATGCCCAATGTCTAGAAATATATAGAATTAATATACTAACCAATTACTAATGAATTGCATTTTTTTTTCATTGATTATCGCAGATCAGATCAGATCAGATTGATCATGTAGATCGATCAGTGATGCCAGCTCGGCTATTATTTCAGGCAATTTATTGTTGAATTGAATAGAATTGACCCCAATTTCAAATTTTCTGCACACCTAGGCACTCTAATGGTGCGTTTAACAGTGGGATACATAGTAATATACATGAGCAGCATTTCACTAAATAGACCGATCAAATCAACCATTGTAATATCCATATCGTGTTCGCAGCCATTGATAACAAATGCTGTGGACACATATAAGGTTTTCCTCGATCACATAATGTTGTCGGAAGATGTAAAAAAACAGGGAAATGTCTCGCTTGATACGAAAGTGATTGATTCATTTCAGTGGACCGCTACGTTGCAGGCAGTGAGTGATTTGTCTATGTTGAACTATAATAATGGTAATGAAATATACACATGGATAATCAATGTATTAGATCTGGATGCCATTGTTTCCATATCAACGCACGCTATATATACACACTCCTTTTGTTATGTTTATTTTACTGCATATGTTTTTCAAATATTGACACAAAGTCACGTATGTTATTCCTATCAATTATGTAATCTCATATAGCATAGCAGTTCAGTGTAATAAAGCAGTGAATAAGTAAAATGAAATATTTCAAGGTTTTATGCGACTGCTCTGCAATATACATGCCATAAAGAACTATATCTCAATACCGTGTCATATAAATTACGGTGAACTTTCGATACATGTCTGCCTATCTCAAAAGTCGCCAATAATTCATTATGTATCGAATTATTATTAGAAATGATATCATTATGAATATTTCTGTGACGTGATTTCAAACTCTCGCAACATCAATTTCTCCTCGCACAGACATTTGTTTTACAAAATTGTTCACGGATTTTGAAAAGACCACGGATTTAAATGACTTGAAAATTAGTAACTGTGTTATTAATTCATCACCGGAGGCGTTAATATAGTGATTGCCCAAAACCTGACTACATGTCTTAATCGCAATAGGGTAAAGTAACAGCAATTGATGTTCATGAACGGCGATCTGCAAACCAGGGCGCTCTACATTACGACCACTATGTTAGATGTTACAAATATATGGAATAAACAAGACACAAATAAAACTTACTTTACGAGTTTAAATTTGATATTGTAGGATCACGCATATGATATTCTGTATATGGATAGATATGTCATAATAACTAATGGTAAAATATGAAATGGAAAACAATATGTAATCCGATTATACCAAATATATCTACTATTTATATAAATCTGTTAATATCTTGTGGCGAATAAGAAAGTATCAGTGATCCGATAATTTAGGAAGCGATTGTATTTTAATGAAGACACGTTTAGTAATAGACAAATTTTGTTATCACTGCCTATGTAGCCAATACATTGGAACTAACATTCATCCCAAACTCAGCAGTGTGTTATTTGTGTTACTTAAATGTTCCTTATTGAAACGGCGCGTTCTCATTGGATGTCATACGCCAACAGTATTCAAGTTAACAACGAACAATAACAGGTTGATGTATTCAATACCTCCAAGACGATGCCTCAGCAATTAGAATTATTAGCATATTAGTGATAAAACTAATGAAAAGAAACAGCGTCTTGTTTGACGTACATATTAACAATGTACATGGCTCAATCCCCGGATGTTGATTTGAATTATGCATATTTATCGGTCTTAATGAGTTGTACACAATGGATATATGTGTTCACAGTTCTTGTGAATTATTCTGCCAAAAATCCAGAAAACACAGATTGCGATATCACCATTAACTGTATAACAAATATTAACCAGTTTACTAACCTTAGGAATTTAGATAAACCTATAAAACTGAACTATAACCGATTCAACAGATTATTTTGTCGCGTTAGCTACATGCAATGTTACGAATGTTTGTAATTTTCTTGATTATGTTACATATTCCCTTCATCCACGTTATTGAAGCGATACATGTGTCACCCAGACACAAGTTGTGATGCATTATGTTAATAACAGCAGTATATGCTATCGTCACGGCGTTTTGGGGATATATAAGCAATAAGACACCATGTGCGCCACAACACATACACAAATCTAACATTCTATTTCAAAGCCAACGTTTACATTAGTGTATTGTAATAGTTCAATAATGACTGTCATTCTATATCATACACTCGCTGAGCAGTGTAACTTGGTTTTTTAAATAGCATTTTCAAAACGGGAACTTATTATTATTTCATTGACCAGATTTAGAAAATAAAACAATCACACACGTTTGCCTAATTGACTCATGATACAAAACACATTCAGCAGCCATTTTCACACAGATATACAGATAGAAATAATCTTACCTACGCACGAATCTACGGAACTTCAGACTATACAAAATGTGATCTACATCAACATCCACATCTATCACGCTTAACCCAACTGCAATGAATTCTGGGAAAGCAGATAAGCGTCAAATTAGATGCCGGAAGTGCGAGTATACTTAATAGATGTTAGACCTTCTGTATTGTGCTAGGATCGCATTGCGGCTGCTCAACGAGGCTATTATGCAGTGAATAGCCTTTGTAATCAAACATGTCATCATTGACATACATCCACAATTTAGTGAATGCTAATGGAAACATGTTTTGAAGTAGTTAAATATTATTTATAAAATATGTACCTAATACACAACTGCCCATACTATATACAGTAGCGATTCTTTACTAAATGTCAACACATTTGTGGTTATAAAGTTTAATATACATTATGTTATGTTATGTTATGTTATGTTTAGTTGGTCGTGATTGCCTTTGTATAACATAAACACAAGATAGAATACAATGCAGCTAATAACTGCTAGGATTTATTGAATGATATGTTATTTTTAATATCTACTTATCACTGCGATGCTGCGTTTAGAGCAGATTACAACTAATGTCAGTTTGGCTCGTGTAGTGTATTGTAGTATTGCGTAGTGTAGTGTAGTGTAGTGTAGTGTAGTGTAGTGTAGTGTAGTGTAGTGTAGTGTAGTGTAGTGTAGTGTAGTGTAGTGTAGTGTAGTGTAGTGTAGTGTAGTGTTGTGTTGTGTAGTGTATCTCTTCTTCTTCTTCAAAAAAACTAATCAAGAATAAATGTTCGTAATCAGTAAAAATAAAGTATGCAGTTTAGAGTCCCTCAGAGGATATGTTGTCTTCAAAGGCGGCGAAACCATTGTCAGCAGGTATCCATTACTTACGGTGAATACGATTGTCATCTCACGTTTTTAGATGAGTTCACAAAAAAGAAATAAACTGAAATTTCCATAACGAAAATTAAACCCGTGATTACATGTTACCATGGTGATATAAGGGACCCCACTGTGTAATAGTTGTAGTGGTGTGATGATAATAGATATCAAGCTTCAGGCTAAGTATAGCTATTGTATATACGTCAAAACATTTACTTTGAAATCATAGTCCTAAAATGTTGTGAACTGTATCTTACTTCAACAATCTCACAACTGAAATCAAACCTAAACCCATTGAAAGTTAACATTTATACAGGATGGTATTTTTCGTCGTGTTACCGTGTCTGTGGTTTTACATACCTCTAGCGATTATTCGAATTGCTAATTAACATGTCAACTTTATTAATCTTTCCGTGTATTTTAAATGAACGGCTTTGCGCATTAGTAAGTGTAATCCAATCACGCTTCAGAACCGCTTGACATTGTTTTGTTTTGCAGTGA